CTCTCTCTCTCTCTCTCTCTCTCTCTCTCTCTCCCTCCTCTCTCTCTCTCTCTCTCTCATATTGTTTAAGAAGGATGTGACTGTACAGAATCCTGGGGTGGATGCATCATGGAGGAAACAGGGTTTGTAGTGATAATCTATTCTTTATGCAATTCAATTATTGTTTACATTTTGCCCAGACCAAATGAAAAACAAAGTGATCCATGGGAAGAAACGTGCATTGCTCAACCTATTGTTTTCTGTTAGCATAGAGGGAAAAGGTATCTCTAATACAACAGGGTTTTTTTTTACTTGTACAAATAATAATCTACATATCTGAATGTATTTTTGCAAATAATTTTTCTTCTTTCTCCAAGATTTTTTACTTTAAAGTCTTGCTTGTTTCTCTTGCTTCTCTTATCATTTCCTGGCAAGAAATTAGAGAGGATCATAGGAATGGTATATAATTTTAAAGGTAAAAAAGCAAGTTTAAACCAGAAATAGTGGTAGATCATGTAACTTGTTTTTTTTCTCATATGCTTATAGTAGTGGCATAATTGCAAGGATAGATGCCTTGTGCTACCATTTGTCTCTGTAGTTGTGGTATTAACCACACTCTACAAGGTCAAGTGAATTCATTGTCAACTGAATATTGACTTAATGTTGTTCGATGAAAATTTCTAAATGTTCACTTAGGTATTTCTGTATTCTGATTTGTGTAAACATAATGCAAAAGAAATAACAATTATAATTATAAAATCAACTATTTTATTTCCTCAAAAAGGGAGCTTCAGCAATAGATAAAAGCAATTACACTAAAAATAGCAAATAAAGAAAAAAAACAAGGTAAGACTACTATTAAAAAGTTAAAATCACAGACATTAAATTTTCTGTGACTTTTTTTAAAGAGTTCAGTGAAAGACCTTTATTTAAAATAGCTGAGGCCAATTTAAATTCTTGGAGCAGAAAATTCATAGATATGAATCACAATTAAAAAGCTGTTATTTCTGGTGATACTAATCCAATCTTTCCAGATAGGACATTGACCATCACAAGTAGCATTTTAAACTGATCCTTGAAACAAACTGAGAACCAAATAAAGTGATATTGAATTGGTAAAATGTGATTGCTTTTCTGGTTCTACAAACTTCATGATGGCTGAATTCTATAAAAAATTGTGTTTCTGAAATATCTTCAAAGGCAGTCCCAAACAGAGAATTTTATAATACTTGTGGTTTGCCAGCTTGCGCACAAAGATGTAAGCAATTTTAACTGCTTTTCATAATGCGAAAGAAAGAAAGAAAGAAAGAAAGAAAGAAAGAAAGAAAGAAAGAAAGAAAGAAAAAAAGAAAGAAAACAAATATCTCTGGTTTAAAAAAATATCCTTTCAGATAGCAAATGAGATGCTTAACCCAGTGTGACTAAATGTAGTGTTCGTCTTTGTCTGAAACAACATAATACCAAAAATCTGTGTAAAATATGAAAAGGCTGTATTAAGCAAACTTGAACTGAACTATTTATAACTGCTGCAAAAGTATAAAAGTATAAAAGTATAAAAGTATCAGCAAAAGTACTGATCTATTTGCTTTTTAAAAAACTAGCTATTTCTTTATGCCTGTGCTATGAAGCATTTCTGTAATATTTTGCTGTTGTTTTCTTTCAGTGTCTATCACCCCAGAAAATTCTCAAGGTGTAGCATTGCTGAATACAGAGATTTTTTACTCCGAGGGGGAGGTTCTTGTCTTTTCAACAGACCTACAAAGGTGCATTCTTTATAGTCCTTTGATGAAGGTGGCAAATTGAGTGATGGTACATTTTGAGTGGAGAAAAAATTGGGAAGGAAATGGAGAAAAGAAGGGGGAAAATGTCATTTCTTTTGCACACTTCCACCCCTGCTCTGACTTACACATAGATTTAGCATAATAAGAGAAAAAGAACAATAAATAATTATTTTCATTTGCATTCCAACTTAGTCCAGGACCTTCAAGTGACATATGTGGTTTCTTCCCCACCCCAGGATTTTGGCCTCACAATAACATTGTGATTTCAGTTACAGTGACTGGGCCAAAGTCTAACTTTATACCATGTAGTATTATGTGCTGAGGGGAAATTCTTTTTTACCTGTCTCTGGGGCAGAGTTTCCCTCCATGGAAGCCTAACAGACTGGGTACAGTCTGTTCATATGTATTACTTTAGCTAGCTTCTATGAACAGCTACCTACTAATTAACTTTTTGTATTTGTGTTTTGTATTTGCTCCATAAGCCTAGGATGGACAATGCTAGCACATGACATCTCCTAGCCAATAATGAATTATATTCAAGGAAGTAAGAGGCTTCCAGGAATTATGCTTCTCCCCAGGTGCACAGGATATCTTCACTTTGGATTTAAGAGCATCCACTGAACATGCTTTTCAGTGAAGTTGAGATTTTTGCTCCTTTAAGAGGCACTAGCAATAGCTTTGTCTTTGGGAAACCACTTAAACGAACAACTTCCTGTTTCAGCTGCTGCTTTAAGCTTTTAGAGGCATTTCTGTTTTTACCACATGAAAGTATCTCTGGCTTTGATGACCTGCAGGAAAGAGAAAAGAATGGCTATTCAAATTGGATGTCAGTGCTATTTATTCAGTAAATTAGATGAACTAGTAAGGAAAAGCATTACAGAGGCAGCTGGGCAAAGTTCCTAACAGACATAGATATAACTATCTTAAGATACACACACAATCTTTACTCAGTTGTGGTTGTTTACTCTAGTTGGATAGCCAATCCATCTAAAGAACAGAAGATTATAGAGCCAGATAAATATAGTGAGAGGAACAAGACCCAAGTCAGTGGTGCAGTTCTTCTGAAGTTTTGTTCCCTATTAAATTGCTCTTGAGAAAAATAAATCTCCAACAGAAATCGGATGTGCAGTTTTAATCATTTACTTCAGAATAGCAGATACATAAGCATTCAGCGCTTAAATATGTACCTGAATCTTTTAGGGATGGTTAGATTGTAACATTTTTTTTTAAGAATATGTTTGTTTCTTTCAGTTGTTTGATGCCACTGAATGTGGAAATGGATATGTGGAACCAGGTGAAGACTGTGACTGTGGTGTCCAAACGGTAGTATTTTAATTCTTAAAATGAAAGCTTAAAAGTAGATAATTAATCATAAGGTTCATGTTTTGTTCATCTTCCGTAGAGCATAAAATAATGTAAGGTTCGTAGACCTGAATCTTAAGGAATTCAATACCAAGAATTCAGGCGGAGGCTGTTAAAAAGAAAAGAGCTCTTTAATCGGCCGAGTGAAGAGCTGGGTGGGCAGCAACCCAAAACACGGGCAGCGAAAGTTCTGGGCAGCTCCACACCAAGAAGATTCCAAACCCAGTTTTTATAGCATTTCAAGGACAATCGATTGCAATTAATAAGGCAGTTTACGGCAGTTTGAACCAGTGTTCCCCCCTTTACCCTCAAGACCTTTTCCCTGCGCTCTCCCCCCTCCAGGTCTTCTGTTTACCTGTTCTTCAGGGCGTTTTTTC